CACTCTTGGTAGTCTGCTTTTTATTTTGATAGCACTCTATACAGATAAACTCCACAACAAACAATAACAAATGCAACTGATAATCCTTTATGGATCCAGTAAAACTTACAGTTACAGTGGTAAAATATTATGCACTGATACAGTGCACAGTCAAAATATAATAAAAGTGATATGTAATATTAAAAAGTATATGTAGTACAAGTTGTAGTAAAGTGAATAATACAAAAAGCGTTTACAACAGTATATAATAGATTTATATTAGCATAAATTATATGTATAATACCATAATAAATAAATGAATAACAATAGATGAATAATAGCAAGTAGAATAAGTAATATCAAGGGTGGAATAATACAGAATAGACAATAATTGAATTAATAGTAAATTAGTAAAGTAAAATAATAAATTAATAGTAAATTATAAAGTAAAATAAATAATCATGAAATGTAGTTTTATAATAGTATTGTGTAATTATTAAACAAAGTAAGACACAACTAATGACATGACACAAAAAATTGTGGTCGTGAATAATAGTCTTGACACTGGTGGCTAATTAAGCTGTCAACATAAAGCTAAAAATTACCAAAAAACATACAGAAACAACTGTTCAGTCTTACCTGTGAAAGATAATACCCCGAGATCTGTTTTTATTATTGTACGACGGTTTGTAGATGCCCAAGCTGCCGACGAGTCAGGTATGTTCACCAATATGGTGGCGACGTTGACGTGCAGTCGAGCGGCCAATGAGGCGTGTAGGTATGTATTATGTCTATGATTTACAACAGCTTCGAATGCGGCTCAACCAATCAGAATCAAGGACCAGAACTATTCGTTTTATATTGTGAAAGTAAAATAATTTATAAAGTTACAAAATATTCTATTTTTTTCTTTCTATTCATCAAAGAATCCTGAAAAAAAATGTTTCCACAAAATATTAAGCACCAAAACTGTTTTAGCATTGATAATAATAAGAACCATCATTAATAGCACCAATAATTGAGCAGCAAATATAATAATTAAACAGTAATGAATAATAAAGAACTGTAATGAATAATACATTGTAACAGATGCTGGAGTTTGGTTAGAATCCATGAGCGGAAGTTTATTAAAGGTCAAGGCTTTAAACAGATGTCGATAATCAGGCAGAGGGTCAAAGTCAGAGAAGCAAGCAGATCGTTCGTCATACACAAGGGCAGAAGCAGAGACAATAGTGGAGAGGCAGGCAATGAGTCCAAACACAAACATCAGTCCTATCAGGCGTCAGAACAAAAGGGGCAGAGTACAAATACCGTGAGTCAAGAAGTCAGGCAGAATCATACACAGGAACTCAATCAGGAACAGAGGAAGAATAACGCTTGGTAAGGCAGGTAAACTGGCAATACTTCGCAATCAGCACATGGACTGGTCTCAGTTTATAGGGGAGTCAAACAGGAAGTGAAAGCAGAGGAAGCAGAGGGAGTGGAGCACGGTCAGTACTCGGGCGAGGGCTCTCTCTGCTGGCTTGGCGTTACAGAACCCCGCCCTCTAGGAGCGACTCCTGGAGCTCGACGTGGACGTCCCTGTGGTCTCGGTGCTGGGCGGTCGGGTCTGGCTCGATGAAACTCCTCGATGAGTGATGGATCCAGAATGTCCCGGGCGGCTACCCATGACCTCTCCTCAGGTCCATAGCCTTCCCAGTCCACCAGATACTGGAGCTGACCCCCTCTTCGTCTCGAGTCCAGTAACACATTCACCCTATATGCCGGAGTTCCATCAAAGTCCAGTGGTGGTGGTGGTTCTGGGGCTTCATGGCCAGGGTCAGCTCCCGAGTGGACGGGTTTGAGGAGGGACACATGGAAAGAGGGAGAGATACGATAGTTAGCAGGAAGCTCCAATCGGTATGTTACATCATTGATCTGTCTTAGTATCTTGAAAGGGCCAACATACCTGGGACTGAGCTTCCTGCTTGGTAGCCGCAACTTGAGGTCCTTCGTGGAGAGCCAGACCCGTTGTCCTGGTTGATAGGGAGGGTGTGGGCGACGTCGTCTATTAGCTTGGAATTCTTGTGTTCTCACAGCTCGCTGGAGATGGACATGAGCACTGTCCCACACCCTCTCACTACGTTGTATCCAGTCGTCCACTGCAGGAACCGAGGAGGGTTCGCCAGACCACGGGAACAGAGGCGGTTGGAATCCTAGGACGCACTGGGCGAGGGCTCCCTCTGCTGGCTTGGCGTTACATACATTAAAAATTTAAAAAAGTTAAATAAAATGTTAAATAAGTTTTTGAAAACTATAAATAAAATGTTAAAAAGTTAAATGTTTAAAAACATGAAATGAGTGAAATAATATTGAACACAAGTATTACATATGGTGAACTCTATTTAAACAACTTTTTACACTATAAAAAATATACATTCAAATATATAATTTTTTTGGAAGTGGTTCTCTACATTTCCTTTAACCACATCTCTTTTGTAACAGTCTCAGTCTGTGGGCAGTACACCCTGCCTCTGTACTGGCTGTGTCCCGTTGCAGTTGTTTTGAACTGCCCGCACTTCTTGCAAGTGAATGCCTCTGCAGTTTTCCTGTATGGTCTCTTGGGCATGGCTTCAGGATTAGCAGATTGTGCATCAGGCTGTGAGCTGATGACTACACAACTGCAGGCTCTAACAGTGCTGTATTATTGGCATTCCCTGGACAATTTGCACTCCCTGGAACATTGGCATACCCTGAAACACTAGCAGATCCTGAAATGTTGTTACACCTTGAAACATCGGCACACCCTGGAAACCTGGTGCTGCTTGTGTTGGGTACCATCTGCACTGATGCTTCAGGCGCTGATGGTGTAACCAACATCTGACACTACACTGGTGCCTTTGGTCTGAGAGGGGGTCGCCCAACAGAATTTTTTGCCTGACCTGCTGTGCTCTCTGGTAGCTTGTACTGGTGCTGATCCGCTGGCTGTTCTGGTCAGTCCGTAGACGCTTGGCAACCTGGAAAGGCTCCTGGGCTTCAGGGAGTGTCTGAGGCAACTGAATGCCTTGAAGCAGCACAGACAGCTCCTGCTTTTTCTGTCTGCTGGTACCTTTTCTCCAGACCATCTATGATCACATCCAGTCCTGCTCCTTCCTGGACTGTCAGCACACTTTTTGGATCACTTGTCACTTAATGTGCGGTTATGAGCAGTGTTGGGGGTAACTCATTACAAGTAATGCGAGTTACGTAATCAAATTACTTTTTTCAAGTAACTAGTAAAGTAACGCATTACTTTTTTAATTTACAAGAAAATATCTGAGTTACTTTTTCAAAAAAGTAATGCCAGTTACTTTGTTTTCCCATTTATTGACTGACAGCTCTCCTGTCTCCATATTGGGAGAAATCGGAAGTGCAGAGGAATTGTGTGCGCTGTGTGAACATGATGTTACTGTAGTTCTAGACTAAATGTGAATGTGCATTAATTCATCCCACTCACAAAAAACAGATTTAGTATATACAACCATACTAATAAGCAAACATGACTTTAGATAAACATAACATTTGTTTCTTTCTCTTTTTTTTTATTGCTGAAGAGTGAACTTTCTTCTCAGGCGTTCTATTCTTCATAACTGAAACAACTGAAAGGTTTGTTTGAGCTGCACCTTCTACTGTGCAGATGTGAATTTACATTTCCTTCAGCCTGAGGCTTATTCATTTCGCTTTTGGTGTGAAAGGGCTTTTACATTTGCCAAAAATAGAACTTCTTTATATTAAAATAAAAACAAACAAGCAAGGCCAGCCCAGATTTAAAAAGTAACACAAAAGTAAAAGTAAAAAAGTAACTAAATAATGTAATTCGTTACTTTTTTAGGAAATAATTGTAATGCATTACTTTTAAAAGTAACTTTCACCAACGCTGGTTATGAGTATATCAGATGACCACTTCTTGCCTCACTTAGTTCAGGGCACCAGTCAAGGACTTTACCTTGGCTATATGAGAACACTTCTGAAAGGGGGCTGGTTCAAGATTTTAGTCACTCAATCAAAACGAACTTTCGGACATGCATGACAGATACTCCAACTTGAAATGAGCCAAAATACCAGCGTGTATGATCCTGTGATTCTGGTTTTGCATACTCATTCAGCACTCCAGTTCCTCAAACAGTACACTGAACTGAGGAAACAGTTCCAACTCAGACTGAAGAGAGATGAGCCGGTGATATTCGTATGTTGAAACAAGCACTTGAATGAAAGGGCAAAATTAACTTTTTTATGGTTTCTCATTGTTTATGTAAAAGGTGAGCTGATGAAGACGTTTATTCACTTTGTATGCTTTAGACATCATTATTATACAATCATTATTGGGTGCTTTAATAATATGATTGAGTATATGTTACGTTATTGTGTGATAGAGTAAATGAACTAGTGAATTGAACCAGTTCATTGAAACGAACTGTCTTCTTGGATGGGCTGAGGGTAAGTAAATTACAAGCAAATGTTCATTTTAGGGTGAACTATCCCTTTAATATCTCCTTCCCTGTTGAGTTAGAAACACAGAACAAAGGTGTGTCAGCTCAGAGCTGTGTTCAATAAAGGTTGTTCAGATTCACTTTCCTAACATTTCAGTGTGTATCTATCTTGACATAAGGACTGACCGATGCAAGTATGAATTCAATAAACTCGGATCCACTCGGAGAACCAACCGATTCTCTCCATCGAGAGCTTGCATGACACAGTCATACCTGTTGGTGATTGTTGCCAAAAATGACAAAGGCTTGCAACCTTGCACCAACTACTAGGCATGAAACAAGATCACAGTCAAAGTCGGCTCCATATTCACAAAGCTGGACCTCTGAAGTGTGTACAACCTCATCCGGATATACAATGGGAACAAATGGAAAATCACATATGTGACTCTGTCAGGACTCTTTGAATATTGTGTCATGCTGTATGCCCTTGTCAATGACCCCTCCAGATTCCAGGATTTTGTAAATGAAGCTCTCACATCCATAAAATAAATCTAGTGATTTTCAGCAGCTTCCAGACGCTTTGCAAACATTTACCAGTTTCATCCAGAATTACAGCTCCATCACCACTCCTCACATCTCTGTTAAAGGGAAGGCCCAAGTCTCTGTCCTAGACCCCTGAGTTTAGAAGGAAGTCCAGTAAGGAGAGCATTACAATAGTCGATACGTGAGGTAATCAGTGCATGAACAAGAATTGCATTATTTGTTGTGAGAGAGGGACGGAGACGATTAACAGAACCCTGAGGGACACCAGCGGTAACTGTAGATGGTCTTGATCAAAAATATTTGATTTGAACAAAATGAGTGCGACCAGTGAGATATGACCTTAACCAGGACAGTGGGTGCCAATGATCCCTATAGAAACTACCCTGTCCAGGAGTATCTTATGCGAGATGGTATCAAAGGCTGCACTCAGGTCGAGAAGGACAAGTATTGTTAATAAACCAGAATCAGCTGCCAATAACAAATCATTAGTAATTTTAACAAGAGCAGTCTCTGTACTATGGTGTGGATGAAAGCCGGATTGAAATTGCTCAAACAATTTATTATTGGAGAGATGATCGTGAACTTGAGCTGCAACACCTTCTTTCCAGAATTTTAGAAATGATTGGCAAATTAGAAATTGGATAAAAATTTTCAAAATTTGATGAATCAGCCCGATTTCTTAATAGGGGTAATATAATAGCAGTTTTAAGAGAGGAAGGTACAGAACCAGAAACATGTGAAGAGTGAATAATTTTAGTAATTAATGAAGACCGAGATGGTAGACAGGCTTTAAATAAATGAGTAGGCAATGGGTTGAGATGACAAGTGGTAGGTTTAAATTCAAATAGGTTTATATTCAAATAGAAAAGTATGAAGAGAAACCATGAAGGACTTGAATCTAGCTTAATGGCCTTCTAATTATTAATAAACTGTTGACAGGAAATTTCATTAGAATGCAAGCATAATAACATAAAAAAAACCTTACAACGACACTTCCACATGTTACATGAATATGAGAGGGATGCTATTACTGCATTGTTTATCACTCCTGTGTGATATTAGTATATTAATATTCCACATATATTTTTGTCATGCAAATGCACAACTGACATTAAAGAATTGCTTTTAAGTTAGGACGCATTAAAGTAAATTTACTGCTGTAAGTAACAATATATATATATATATATATATATATATATATATATATTTATATAAGGGGTGTAACGATACACGTATTGAACCATTCGGTACGAGGCTTTCGGTTCGGTATGCATTACAAACCAATTCGATTCGTTGGACTACTCCTATAACATTTGGAAAATTAAACCGCTTGGTGTGTAAAATATAATGTTCTCAGTGCCACTGAGCTCAACAAGGCAGCCCAAACGATGTAACAGGCAACGTGCTGTCTGCCCAGTGGCGTAACATTAGCAGACGGGCACGCAGGGCACACACTGTGAAAGGCCCTGCGATAACCTCCCCTTGCTGGGGTGCGTCTAAAGACGATGATCTTGTATCGACGATATCCAGAGATATTGTCAAAAACATCAATTGTTGCCAATATTAAGATATTTGGCATTTCCAATGATTGTAGGCCTGTTACATTCTTATTTTTATTAGGCCTATTATTATTATTATTATTATTATTATTATTATTAAGTTACTTGCATTATTAAATTAAAATTACAATTAATTTGCCACGCAATAATTACCAAATAACTGATGTGCTGCGAGGATAACAAAAGATTAGGCTATTAACTCCTCAATTAAAATGTAAAAAAAAAAAAAAGGTAGAGACTCATGTGTGAGAATAAGGGTGTACTCACACTAGGCAATCTTAATCGTGCCCGAGCGCGTTTGACCCTCAAAGCCCGGTTCGTTTGACTAGTGTGATTGCTCCGTGCTGCGCCTCGGGCGCGGTTCGTTTAGCCGTCCCTGGCTCGATTGGAAGAGGTGGGCTCGGACATGGTACGGATGTAGTGTGAGCACTAACCGCACCGGAGTGCGGAACTTCTGATACGTGCAGCATGATTGCGTCAACATTTCTGAGCGGCAAAAGTGATAGATCTGTAAAGCAATAGGATATATTGTGAGAGGGCCATGTGTTACCGCGTCCCAAACTACTCAAAATAATAAACCACAAAGTTAACAAAACGATGCACTCCACTGTGCTGAGCGAGAGCGCTTCTCTGCTGTCTTCACGTGCTATTGGAAACATCCTATTTCCCACTTATGAGGACCTTATTACGAGCATGTTGCATTCTTTTCTGTTATAAATAACAGTGAACAGTGGTTTGTGAATGTTGATGCTTAGCCTAAATAATTTTATTGGGAGTGCTCCTGCAGTCTTAGGCCCTCCCCAAATGCTCTCGTTGGTTGAGACGCGTGATGACACCCATCCCAAGCCAGTACTGATCAACATCCCACCCCTCCTGTGACCCATGGTTTGTCTGTATGTGTATTCAGAGCCAGTGAGCAATGGACTTTCAAAATAATAATAATAATAATAAAACTGCATTAATGCGCGATAAAATAATTGTCGGCGTTAATCAATGTGTTAACGCGATAATAGCTTGCCCATTGCCCGCGTTAACTTGCCCAGCCCTAAGCCACTTTT